TCACTACTAAATAATGTTAATTAAATAGATATTTGTTTTTTAAATTATATTTAGTCATAAACTATAATTAATTTTCATTTATTGTATATTTTCTAACAGTTTAAACATGTTTAGTTATGATTTTCGTGTTAAATAGTGCTTTTATATGCTTTTGGACCAAATATGCAGTTATATGCATTTATGAGCCAAATATGCATTTATATGCAAAATAAAAGTTCGTTAAAACACCCCTTATTATGTGATTCGTTTGCCCACTAAGTCCCAAACTTATATAACTAACCGGTAAAAACATGCATTTGCACGATATGATATGCTTTACTGATTAGTAATCAGTTTAATTAAACTATCTATCTATATTAAATGAAATGAATATATGTTGTGAGGTTATAAGAACATCAAGAAAATTATTGTTCTAAATAGACAGAAAAAATCTTATTAACCGGTATATCGAGCAAAATTTCAAACGGTACCCAAACGCATCGTTCACCGACCAGTTATTTCTAATATTGAGCAAATATTTTGATCAGATTTTATTTACAAAAGAAAAAATATTTTTAAATAAAATACAATATTCAAAAAATAATTTTCTTTTATTTTAATATAAAACTAATAAATTAATAATTAAATCTGCCTTAGGTTTGAACCCACGTTCTTTACCTTGATATTAGTTACGCCTAAAGACCTTCACATATGAGCTTTGTTATGAAGGTCATATCTATTGCGCATGCCTGTTAAGTTCTATATAAACTAAACGTTTAATTATTTCTTACGTCAAAAGTGAAACAACCAATATGGAACAAAAATATATGAATGTGATGACTAAAAAATATAGTGAATTTCATGCGAATTGTATTTTTGAAGCTCTTATGAGTGAATTTCACCCGACAAATGACGAATGGATGGTTTCCTTTAAACGTCTAATGAAAAATGAAAGAAATAGATTATTAACATTTGATGATGCATTTGAAAAATTTTCCTTGAGTGTTGATAAAATTGCAAAAGAGGGATTATTTTATTTACAAAAGAGTGATTTTGTTCAATGTGCTTATTGTAATGTAGTGTTATTAGATTGGGAATTAAATGATAACCCAGAATACGAACATAAAAAGTATTCTCCATTGTGTCCGTTTTATGCTGAAGAATATGGCAAAAAATTCCAATATATTATAATCCAAAAAACAGGAATTTAAAGAATATAATATTTTAAAAATATTATATCGTTATAATTTGAGAACTCAAAGTGAATGGCAATTAAGTGACTATGGAATTGTGCCGTATCACAGATTTTCAATGGCGCCGATTATAAATAATTTTAACAAAATTGAACTTTAAAAATCAGAATATGAAGTATTTTTATGCAAAATTTGTTTACGCCAAACAATGCATATTGTATTTTTACCATGCGGTCATTTGGTTTGCTGTGAATCATGTGGACAATAATCTGCAAGATATGGTCGACATTGTCCTGTCTGTCAAAATTACATTATGGGAATAAAGAAAGTATTCATCTCATAGTTTTATAAATATAATTTTATTTTATAAATTTATTTTTTTTATAAAATTTTACAAATAATATAATTATTAAATAAAATTGTTAATTAAATATTAATTTTGTAATTTTTTATTTTCATTTCTTCTGTTCCTAAATAAATAAAAACATAAAAATCATTTTGTTAATTTGATTGATTCTTACATCAACTGGTTTAAGAATTGTCTCTTTTTCTTGTACTTTTGAATCTTGAAAATATAAATTATAAGAATTTTAAAAACTAAATAAATATATTGTGATGGCTTGTCCATCACTAGATGTCGCTATTTATCTGTATTTAAATATCCCTCTCATTGTATAACTTTCTTACCAATACTGTTCATACAATCCCATACTCTTTGTTCTCACACTTCAGTCGTTGCACTGTTCTCGTCAGAGACGGTCGCATCACTCCATTCAGCACTTGAATGTAATCTCATTTAATCTTATTAAATAATGTTTAAGTTTGATTCAGTTGTCATAATCATTTGCTCAGTCAATCTTATAGCCTGAGTGAACACCTAGAGATCCCAACACTCATTGGTGGCCAACTCGGGTACGACTGGTAACGAACTCGGGTGTATCAGTTACCGAGTCTTCAGTACACAACCCTATGACCGACAGTCGGGACAGACAGTCGGATCGATAGGTGATACACTCGCGTTCCCTATCTGGTCGGTATCAGACCAGCTATAGGTCACCGTAGTTACCACTATCAGTTCAAAGATAGTTATAATAGACTCAAACCCATTGGTCGCCACAACTCTCTCCCCACGATCCACGACATATGGCGCAGTCGGTAGGATCAGTACAACTGATCCAATATCTACGATCTCAACTGCAACTAATCATAACTTGAACATTACTCTCACCGCAAACTAATGGCTGGTCGCGCACCATTAGTCTCAAGACTACAGTACCACTGAACGCATCTCCCTATCCTTCACATCGACTCTCACACGTATAGCAACACATCGGTCTCATTCACGGCCACACCTCACACTCAATGGCAACTCTTTGCAAACTATGGCAAACTCGTCACGCAGTACACACTGGCACCCATTCATTGCTAACCTCACCGCAAGTCTCAATGTTTGGCGCTCGCCTTCACTGACACCCAAAGTATAGCTAATCGGCTCTTCATCGCAAGACCCTATCTTTGGCGCTCGTCTCTTCACACTCTGCGTCGACATCGATGGTCAACGCGGTTCCCTATTTGGTTGTCGGGCCATCACATGGCAAACATAACTCGACAATTGGCGCCATCAGCTCATGGTGGTACAGATAGTCGCAACCGGTGTTGCCTCGGCACTAACGCCACGCCATTCAAGCCTAATGCTATCAACTCTCACGCCATTCACACAACGCTATACAGCCTCTAACCGGCGCTACTCTCACTTACAGTCGGCTTTCCTATCATAAGTTGACATCCGCTCGACATTCACTCACTCTCACGGACAACACTCACGCCATATTCGACCGCCGCGTCGTATGCGCTCTCACTCCGCGTCCGCCCGTACAGAAGCATATGAGTCGCGCAATGGCCTGAACGCGAACTCAGGTGTTTCAGCGCCAGACCATCACTCATATCCGCTTCCGCTCACCGCATTTGTCTCTCAGACACAGCACCCTTTGTTGGCACTTCTCTGCACAGCAAACACTTGGCGCCAACACATCCGCTTTCACACACATAACTCACTCAAAGTCGCGACACTTTGGCTCCTCATTCATCACACATCCGCTCAACAACAGCTCAAAAGCCAATCATAGCTCTCAGCTCTCACTTCATACAAAGCCCGACACACACGTACTCTACACACGACGCCAAGCCGTCACTACTTATGAAGCCCAGCCTTCAATATACTACTCTTTCACACGGCATTGTCGGCACTTCTCAAAGCACTCAATGCAATACAGAACGACCGCTTTGTATTGTTCACTCAAAGCCATCCCATTGGTTGACATCAGCTATTGTATTGCGAACACATCGACTACTCCTTAGTAGCCGTCGCTACCCTTCGAGTTGGAGCTCTACGTCGAGCTGTACCGGAACCACTCGTTGGTCAACACACGTCGATTAATGCGCATACAATGACGTCTCGATGCCAATGGCGAACACGGTCCGCACTCTTAGCACATACCTCTTTTGCTCTCAAGCCTTCAGCACAAGCATCACTAATACACTCGTACACTCTGCCTATCGTTGGCTCACACTTGTCTTCACACGTCATTCATACAATCAATATCAAGACATCATCACCGAAGACAACAATCACCACAACTACAGAACCGTTTACTACTGCCCACTCTCGAACTCAGGTGTCTCAGAGAAGTTGACAGAAGTCTTTCGGTTACACATTAACTGTCGACTCGTGAAACTCCTGTGTTCCGAGTCCGACGCCTCCGATCCACAACAGAACAACCAATCCATAACACATTGACTTGTAATCACAGCTCAACGCACTCAGCGATACTGGACTTCAAGTCGTATTATCCGTCCGCTCTCACACGACATCTCATCCACGCACTCACCCGCTAAAGACCCACTGCCAATGGACTCCTGCTCCGTTCGGTCTACGCTTCGCGTCTATATTACGCGTATACTCTTCGCGTCCACCTCCGGACCAGTCTTTCGTGGCCGGAGTGTGTGATGGCTTGTCCATCACTAGATGTCGCTATTTATCTGTATTTAAATATCTCTCTCATTGTATAACTTTCCCACCAATACTGTTCATACAACCCCATACTCTTTGTTCTCACACTTCAGTCGTTGCACTGTTCTCGTCAGAGACGGTCGCATCACTCCATTCAGCACTTGAATGTAATCTCATTTAATCTCATTAAATAGTGTTTAAGTTTGATTCAGTTGTCATAATCATTTGCTCAGTCAATCTTATAGCCTGAGTGAACACCTAGAGATCCCAACACTCATTGGTGGCCAACTCGGGTACGACTGGTAACAAACTCGGGTGTATCAGTTACCGAGTCTTCAGTACACAACCCTATGACCGACAGTCGGGACAGACAGTCGGATCGATAGGTGATACACTCGCGTTCCCTAACTGGTCGGTATCAGACCAGCTATAGGTCACCGTAGTTACCACTATCAGTTCAAAGATAGTTATAATAGACTCAAACCCATTGGTCGCCACAACTCTCTCCCCACGATCCACGACAATATAATGTATAAAAACAAATATACATCGTTTGACTTTATCGATTCCGTTTTCAAATATTTCAGTTGATTTAATTTTCAAATCAGTCAAAATTGTTGCCAAATGATCCAGTGTTTCCAATTCATAACCATATAGAATAAAACAATTATTAATTTCTTTACGATTAAGTATAGCATCTTTAAAGAAATTTGATTTATTCACTTGTGGTTCACTTAACAATTGATCAAATACATCATCAAAATGATTAGATACTGCTTTATAAACAATATCATAGGTTTTTGTATTTTCATATAAATTACTCAAACAAATATAACAAGATTTCATTGCAGCCATGATTAAATAACGAAATATGTACAAACCGAGTTGTATAAATAGGAGATATATAAGCACCTCCTATATTTAGCTTTGATACTTTTGGCCTTTAAACTTTCATAATATTTTTATACTGTTTAGTACAAAATCAAAAATTAATTTGGCCCTATGGTTGGGTATAATTTGGCTATTGTGTTCACCATATCACTGTTAACAAAAAGACTGTTAACAGTGATTTTAATAAAATTCAAGCGCATATTTTGAATTATAACATATTATTGAAAATACATTGGTTTGAATAAAAAAACCACACAATTTTGCAGGAGTGAAGACCGGGAAGTGAGGGGATAGGGCTTAGTTCCGGTCACACTACTGTAATAATTAATTTAACTCAAGACTTAACAACAATAATAATTTATTAATTAACTTTGGGCTGAAAGTGAGAGCCTTTACTCTACAGCAAACTTATCTACATTATGATGACTTAACTCTATCCAAGTCCTACATGGCTCTGATCTGAGTTTAGCACTTGGTAGGTCATAAATATACATTTGATAAATGAGAATACAATAAGTGTTATAATAAACTTTACATTAAACTTTAAATTAAGTGATTGGAAATATACTAATAATTAATATTTAAAGAGAGAGTCATTATGAGTACTAATACATAGGTTATGAGTATAAGGTATTAAAGTAGAGGCAGCGCCTCTGCAACGTTCCGGTCTGGAGTCGAACGTCCTCGCTTCGTTGCTCGAGTTAAGTGAAGTTGAGTTGAGTTGAGGGTTGATCGTTGCTTAAGCTGTACTTTAGTTATGGATCATTGCTTGACTGTTGTTCTTGATCTCTGGATTCTTGACTGTAGTTCTGATCTCTGGATTCTTGACTGTAGTTCTGATCTCTGGATTCTTGAGTTTGCATCTGTGAATTGTTGAGCTGTGAATTCATTGTCTGTCCACATCTTAAGCCGAGTCTCTTTAATTATTCCATAATTTTTTGTGAGTTATTGTTTCGAACCAACAAAACATTTCCGTTTTGATAGCTATCTGTTACTTATCGTTAAGTTTTACAGTCTATACTCTTGAGCAAAACCTGAACTAAAGGATAAAAGTAGACCACTGCGTCAATACAAGTATCTCTGAGTTAAAACCCGTTAAAACTAAATAATTAATTACTTCTGGCTATTGATAAGAAGTTTGAGTTAATACATTACATGTAATACAAGTCATAAGGCTTTTGAACAACAAAAATGAATTAATAAGTATTGAGTCGTAAAAGTGTTAAATAAGTCTCACAATTACTAATTAATAACTTATATCACAAACTATTTTTAAGGTTAGAGTTTCTTAATTTATACTTTACTTATATTTATATCTAATATTTGGATTAATAAGTATTGATTCAATATTTTAGTCAATGACTTATTGTTAAACTGTTTCTAACTGTTTCTAAGATTAATGTTTCTTAAACTATACTGTAATTTTATCTAACCGTTCAAAAAAATCCGATCGCGCCGTTTTTGTAATTACTCTCAAACGAAATGAGCTAGATCAAATCTGTAAACTGTAAAATGATGGTCCACATATCTAGTTTTTTATAACAAAAAATTATTAAAATCACGTGATCAAAACATAAAAATTTTTGGGTCATTTCGAAATGCCATGGTTTTAGCCCAGTTGAAAGGGGGTTCGGAAGGGGGCGGGTATGTGGTTAGGTAGAGAAGAGGTGAGTGTCTATGATATGAAAGTTTCATTTTGAAGCATGTGTCGACAGCATTGTTATGAGTCAAACGCATACAACGACTTACATAGCCGTATACGGGTTGACCCCATTTTGAGAACCCGAAGCGGTTGGTAACTCCGGTGGCATAAAACTCCGAGGGGTAGTATTCGGGCACAAATGGCTTATTAGTCACAATATATACTGAATTGGACTCTACCAACACTGACATCGGGTTAAAATTAGTAATAATTGAAAGTGGTGAAAATTGAGTTAAATTTGGATTTAATATGGTGGTATTAGATAGTTGTTTAACCATCCAAAAACAACGTCCCTGCACTTGAGCGCATAACAACGCTGCCTCCCGAGGTACAGGTTTTGCTAAGAAGTTAATTTATAGGAGGGCACAGGTGCCACCACCAGTGAGTGATTCAGTGTCTCGAATATTGGCAGTTGCGTACAACTCGCCCCTCAAATAAATAGCATTGTTGTCTCCGTCGGGACCAATGCTTATAGCATTGTATGCTTTGGATGTGTTGAGTGGAGTGTAAGTGTTAGTGGAGTTTGCGTACAACTCGCCCCTCAAATAGATAGCATCGTTGTCTCCGTCGGGACCAATGCTTATAGCATTATATGCTTTGGTTGTGTTGAATGGTGTGTAAGTGTTGCCAGAGTCTGTGTACAACTTAACTCTCAAATGAATGGCATCGTTGCCTCCGTCAGGACAAATTCTTATAGCAGTGAATGTTATGGTATTGTGTAAAGTGAAATGAAATTAATGCATTCTAGACCTCCGTACGGCGCAATTCCTTTAGCATTAAAATTATAGTATTTGTATTTATTTATTGAACCGATACATAAATTTGAATGTTTTAATTTATAAATAATTTGCATAAATTTGGCCCCATGTTCCTATTTAAATAAAAACATGGGGCTCAGCGTTATTATTTATGAAATAAATAATTAATGGACAGATATATAATTTAATTATATTTTATTCTTTTTCAACATAATCTTCATTTTTACAATTAGTGCAATAGTAAACAATGTGTTGTATTTTACACACGAGTTTATCGCACCCTTCACATCGGATCGAAGCTTTACGATTAGCCTCACGAGGGCATAAATCACACCGTATGTTATTGAGTCGTTTAACAGTTGATCTTGATGTCGATA